TATTCCTCACATCCCCCTCTAATCCTCCTGCCCCTCACCTTCAGTCTATACCCCCTGGGTCATCGATCTCTCCACCAAGGGGGAGATATTCCTCCCGGTTTACCCTGTCTATGCCCCTCATCATTTTCTCCATCTTATTCATGTCCCCTCTCAGTCTCAGTGTTTCTTTTAATTTATTTTCATTCATGCACAGGATGAGGGCCTCTCTGGCTAGATCAGCGTTTATTGCCAGTTTCCTAATTGCCCAGACGGCAGTTAGGAGTCAACTTCATTCCAAGGAAAACCATCCCAGTCTGCCCAATCTCTCTCCATCACTGAAACATCCTGGTAAATCTCCCTCTGCCCCCTCTCTCAGCGCTATCACATCCCTCCTATAATGTGGGTCCCAGAACTTGCCTAACCAACGTTCTATACAGTTCCCAGCTAAACCTCCCTGCTCTGAAACTCTAAACCTCAGCTAATAAGAGCATGCACCCTACACGCCTTCTTCACTACTCTATCCACCGGTCCTGATACCTTCAGGGACCCAGCGTACAGGCCCATCAGGGTCCCTCTGATCCTCTGTGCTTTCCCAGGACCCTACATTCCATCATGTGTTCCCTTGCCTTCTGTGTCCTGCCCAGATGCATCATCTCACATTTATCTGGATTGAATTCCATTTGCCACTGATCAGCCCATCTGACCAGCCCACCTATACCCTCCTTATAAAACCCGAAAGAACTGCGGATGCTGTAAATCAGGAACAAAAACAGAAGTTGCTGGAAAAGCTCAGCAGGTCTGGTGGCATCTGTGAAGAAAAAAGTCAGAGTTAACGTTTTGGGTCTGTTCTGAGGATGGGTCACCAGACCCGAAACGTTAACTCTGTTTTTTCCTTCACAGAAGCTGCCAGACCTGCTGAGCTTTTCCAGCAACTTCTGTTTTTATATCCTCCTATAATCTAAGGATATCAATCTCACTGCTTACCCTCCAGCCATTTTTTGTATTATCTGTGAACTTACTGATCAAGCCTCCTACATTCCAGTCTAAATCATTTATACAAGCCACAAGAAGCAAGAATTCCAACGTTGACTCCCTGACCTTTGCTGTCAGTCTCCCGTGTGGGACCTTATCAAAATCCCTGCTGAATTCCAAGTAAACACCATCAAAAGCACCGCCCTCAATGAGATACCCAGTCACCTCTTCAGAAACTTCAAACAAGTTGGTCAGACATGACCTTCCCTTAACCAAACCAAGCTGACTGTTCTGCATTAATCCCTTCCTCTCTAAATGCAGAGTAACTCTGCCCCTCAGAATTGTTCCCGATCACTTCCCCACCATTGGCAGTGGCGGCATCTTTGGACTGAAGCTTGGTCTCATTCCCTGCGTGGGCTGGGTCCAAATCCCATGGTAGCTACTGGAATTTAACTTCACTTAAAAATTAAGGGCACCTGAGGTTACAAAGGGATCTTCATCCATTGGGTCAATGGGCTGGGGAGTGGCAGATGGAGTTTAATTCAGTTAACAGCGAGGGATTGAATTTCGGAAAACAAACAAGGGCAGGATGAATACGATTAAAAGTAGAGCCTTGGGTAAGTCATACAGTCATAGTGATAAGGCATTGAAATAGGTTCTTTGGCCCATCATGTCTATGCCGACCAATAAACACCAAAATACACCAATCCCATTTACTTGCACTTAGTCCATAGCCTGCTATGTCCTGGCATTGTAAGTGCTCATTTAGTAGTGTTGTAGAACAGAGAAACCCAGGGATTCAGGTGCTTAATCTTTGAAGTTTGCATCACAGATAGATAGGGTGATTAAGAAGATGTTTAGCACGCTTGCCCTCATTGCTCAGACCTTTGAGTACAAGAGTTGGGACGTCATGTTGAGGTTGTACAGGACATTGGTGAGGTCTCTTCTGGAGTACTGTGTCCAGTTCTGGTTGTCCTGAGATCGCCTCTCATCCTTCTAAACCCCAGGGAGTAGAGTCCCAACCTGTTTAGCCTTTGCTCATAGGTCAATCCCTCCCAAACCAGGGACCATCCCAGTGAACCTTCTCTGAACTACCTCCAAAGAAATGATATCTTTCCTCAAATAAGGAGGAACCAAAACCGTTCACAGTGCTCCAGACGTGGTCTCACCAGCACCTTGTACAGTTGAAGGAAGAAACAAAAGCAGAAATTGCTGGAAAAGCTCAGCAGGTCTGGCAGCATCTGTGGAGAGAAATCAGAGTTAATGTTTCGGGTCCGGTGACCCTTCCTCAGAACAGTAGCAGGGCGAATGACTGGTCTACTCCACAAAGGGCCACCACGGGATTGATGGGTCAGATGGCCTCATATCGCACCATCCTGCAGGGAAATACCAGTTAAATGAAAGAAATACAGGAATACTGGAGGTGAACGTACTGGAGCTCCATTTTGAGGCTTACAGATTGGACCAGTAGGTGTCATTCTCAGGTTTACAGGTTTTACTGGAGTTGGACCAGTAGGAGCCATTCCCAGGTTTTACCGGTTTTGCCTTCTTATGGTCATGGCTATTTGTAACAAAAGGCAGGAAGGATAGAGGAACTGAATATTACTGAAACAGAGAGACTGCAGAAAGCTGCAGCACAGAGGGATCTGACAGTCCTCACCCACAAATTATAAAAAGCTGGAATCCAAGTTCAGCGGGGAATAGGGATGGTAACTGGAATGTCGGTCTTTATTTCATAGGGAATGGAGAATAAAAGTCAGACCACAGCTGGGATACTGTGGGTAGTTTTGGGCCCCGTATCTAAGGAAAGAGAGCCTGCCATCGGAGGCAGTCGGAGGAAGGTTCACTTGGCTGATCCCGGGGATGGAGGGACTGTCTGATGAGGAGACAGTGAGTAGGTTGAGGCCTGTACTCTCTGGAGTTTAGAAAAGTGAGAGAGGACCTTATTGAAACACACAGGTTTCCTAGGGGGCTTTGACAGGGGAGACAGGGAGAGGATGTTCCCCCCTTGTGTGGGAGAATGCAGGACCAGAGGGGCATCATCTCAGAGTAAGTGGGTCACCCATCGAAGACAGAGATGGGCAGGAATTTCTTCTCTCCGATGGGAATGGATCTGTGGAATTCTTTACCACAGAGGGCTGTCGAGACTGGGTCATTCATTATATTTAAGGCTGAGAGAGAGAGATGTTTAATCAGGAAGGGAATTGAGGAGAAAAGGCAGGAAAGTGGGGTTCAGGATGATCAGAGCTGGTGCGATCTCAGTGAATGTCAGAGCAGATTCGATGGGCTGAATGGCCTGCCCCTTAAGGCCTCCTGGCATATTGTGTGCGTTGGAGACAGCCCAGAGCACAGGGTCACAGGGAGTGGGTGGGGAGTTGGGCCTGCGCAGGGTCAGGAGGAGTTGTGAGCCAGGTGAATGGCAGAGTGTACCCGAGGGGCCGAATGGTCTGCTCCTATCTCTAGTTAACCCAAAGAGGGCAGCTGCTCAGTGACTGCCCCATCTGACCCCATCACCTCTGAGAAACACAGGTGGGTAGCTGGGGTTTGTGGGGTGGGGATGGTGGGGATTGGAGGATATGGGAGCTTTCCAGCAGGAAGGGGCAGGCCATTGGCTGGGGAATCTGTGGAATTCACTGCCTCAGAGGGCTGTGAACAGAGCCACGACATTGAGTGTGTTTGAGACAGAGATAAATAAGCTCACGATGAGTGAGGGGATCAAGGGTTACAGGGAGAGGGCAGGAGAATGGGGTTGAGAAACTTATCAGCCATGATCGAATGGCACAGCAAGACTCAATGGGCTGAATGGTCTCATTCTGCTCCTTTATCTTATGGTCTTGGGTGTTTCCCTTCCACATTCCTGTGAAGCCATGTCAGAGGCATTTACCACCAGCCCCACCCCCATCATCATCCCGGTTACAGCCCGCTGTGAGCCTACTCTCCTTCCCATAGGGTCCCTCTCCCCACAGGGTCATAGAACACGGAAACAGACCCTTCCGCCCAACCAGTCTGTGCTAACCATAATCCCAAACTGAACTAGTCCCACCTACCTGCTCCTGGCCCATATCCCTCCAAACCTTTCCTATCCATGTACTTATCCAAATGTCTTTTAAATGTTGCAACTGTACCCACATCCACCACTTCTTCAGGAAGTTCATTCCACATGTCAACCACACTCTGTATAAAAATATTGCCTCTCATGTCTTTTTTTAAATCTTTCTCCACTTGTCTTAAAACCATGCCCCCTAGTTTTGAATTCCCTCACCCTGGAGAAAAGAATCTTGGTATTCACCTTATCCAAGTCCCTCATGATTTTATAAACCTCTATAAGGTCACCCCTCAACCTCTATGCTCCAGGGGAAAAAAAACTCCAGTCTTTCCAGCCTACTTCTATATCTCAAACCCTCCATTCCCAGCAACATCCTGGTAAATCTTTTCTGAACTCTCTCCAGTTTAATCACATTCTTCCCATAACTGGGTGACCAGAACTCCATACAGTGCTCAGAAGAGGCCTC